TGGCCCGCGTGCGCATGTAGCCCTGCTCGAGCGGCAGGCTCGCGAGCGACTCGTTCGACGCGGAGCAGTCGAAGCCCTTGCCGTCGCAGGCCGACGTCTGGCAGGCGCCGCCGGCGTCGACGGTGTAGGAGCCGGCGTCGCAGGGCCGGCAGGCGTCGTTGACGTCCTCCTCGCCGTCGTAGCACTCGCGGAGCGCGAGCGGGACGACGACGGTGAGCGCGTCCGCGTCCTCGACGCCGAAGACCGACGCCGTGAAGGACACGTTCAGCGCGCTGTCCGGCCGGCCCATGATGGTCATGGTCGCCATCGACGCGAGGCCGCCGGAGAAGGCCTGGAGCCCGTCGCTGAGCATCGCCGACGACGTCGACGCGGTCACGGACGCCGTCGGCGACGCCGTCGCGAGCTGGCCCAGGGCGTCGTAGAGGCCGAAGCCCACGGGGCACTCGCGGTTGCGCTCGCCGGTGTTCCAGACGTCGGCGCAGGTCGTCGACCCGTTGAACGCGACGCGGCGCATGGACATGGGCGGCGTCGCGACGTCGCCGCCGTACGCCGCGGCGTTGTCGGCGAAGGCGAGGCTCGGCGGCAGCAAACCGGGGCCGTCGTAGTCCTCGAAAAACAACGCCCCGCCGCCCTCGTCGGCGGCGTTGCCGAAAAAGGCCGTCGCGGCCGTCGCGTTCGGGATCTCGAACGCGAGGCGGGCGGCGGTGCCGTTGCCGTTCCAGCCGGTTTCGTCCAACACGTAGCCCCGGCCGCCGTCGACGTCGACGTGGACGACCGTGCCGTCCCAGGCCTTGGCGACGTCGCCGTCCGTCGCCGCGAAGACGTAGGCGCCCGGCGCGAGGCACGTTTCGTAGGTCACCGTCGCCGCGCCGCGGTAGTCGTCGCCGGCGACCTCGACGCCGGCCGCGTCGGCCACGGCCCAGGCCCGGTCCGTGCAGACGCAGCCGGCGCACGCGTATGCAATGGTGACGTCGAGGCAGGTCATCTCGGGGAAGGCCTGGAACCAGTCGTCGCAGTTGAGCGTCATCTCGTAGAGGCGCGACGTGAGGCCCGGGCAGCCCATGCCCGCCGCGGAGCCGTCGATGGTCGTCCGCACGCGCGCGAGGCCCGGCGCGCATTTCTTTCGGCCGAGCGCGTCGCCGTTCGGCGACGTCGCGCCGTCGTCGTCCCAGATCTCCGCGCCGGCCTCGAGCGAGAGGTCCGCGTCGAGCGTCGCGTGCGCGCCGCCGCCCTCGGCCTTGAGCCGCCCCGACGACGCGGCGATCGTCGCCGGTTGCCGGCGAAGACCGCGCCCGATACGTCGACGGACGACTCGCGCATCGTGAGGCCGCCGCCGCGGCCGGCGACGTTGCGCGCGAATCGCGCGCCGCGGAGCTGCGACGGCGCCTGGGCAGCAAAAGGGTGATTCAACGTCGCTTCAACGTGAGTGTTCCGCGCGCGCGCGTTCCGGAAAAAGCATCCACGCTTCGAGACCGTTCCGAGAGATGGTCGCTCGTCTAAAAATCAGCCGAAACGAGTGGACAACGGCCGAGATATGAGCCTTTGAAGTTGGGAATTTCGCTCTCTTGTGCTGCCCTGGACGGCGCGATGTCGGACGCGTCGACGGCCATGCCGCCGCCGGCGAAGGCGTGGTTGGCCAGGAAGGCGCTGTCGAGCACGTCGGCGACGTCGGCCTTGCGCAGGGACACGCCGCCGCCCGCGCGTTTCGCCGTGTTGTTCGCAACCACAATATCGCGCGCCGCGAGGTGCCCCGCGTTCTCGACCAGGATGCCGCCGCCGTTGAGGCCGGCGTAGTTGCGCGAAAAGACGCAGCGCGCGACGTCGAGCACGCCGCCGTCCTCGTAGGCGCCGCCGCCGTCGTACGCCACGTTCTCGAGGAACGCCGCGTCGCGGACGTACGCGTCGCCGTAGGACGCGAGCGCGCCGCCGCCCTCCGCGGCGACGTTGCTTTCGAAGACGGCCCCGTCGTCGAAGACGCCGGCGACGGCGAAGGGGAAGGACTCGCCGCGCGCGGCCCGCGAGACCTTGGCCTCGAGGAGTTTGGCGCCGACGTCCGACACGGTGAACGCGTCGCCGTCGCCCCAGCCCTCGCCCGTGATGGACCCGAGCAGGGCGTCGTAGTCGCCCGGCGCGAGGCACGCGAAGCGCGACACCGACTCGCCGTGGCCGCTGTAGAGGAACGCGGGGTCGCCGTCGGCGTCCTCGAAGGACCGCTGGCTCGCGTTGCCGCCGACGCGCTTCACGATCGCGCTGCCGCCGGCGACCATGGTCCCGTCCTCGATGGCGATGGCGAGGCTCACGCGCGCGCAGCCCGGCGACACCGCGAGGGAGCCGCCCTCGACGGCCGCGAGCGCGCCGCCGTAGGTCCCCGCGACGTTCGCGCGGAACGACGCCGCGCCGCGGACGTGCGCGTCGCCGCCGTCGGCGGCGAAGACGGCGCCGCCCGCGCCCGCGGCGGCGTTGGCGTCGAAGGCGCAGGCGGCGAAGATCGCCGCGCCGGAGACGGCCGCCGCGCCGCCGTCGCCGGACGCCGTGTTGTTCGAGAACGAGCACCGGACCTGCGTGCAAATCAACCAGTGAGCTGGGACGTCCCGACCAAACTTTGAAATTCTCTCGCTCGGTCACATCGACGTCAATTCGGCTGATTTTTGGACGAATCGATTGCTCTCCTCGAGTTCTCGAAGCACAGCGAAAAGTTCTGGTCCAAACCGTTCGATTACGCGCACATTGAAGTCGGGTTGAAGATTTGATTTCGACGCGGCGCCGGACCGCGTCGAGGCGGCCGCTGCCGACGTGGGACACGGCGCCGCCGGACGCCGCGTGGTTGTTCCGGAAGACGCACCCCTCGAGGCGCGCCGACGACCCGAGCTCGAGGGCGACGGCGCCGCCGACGTCCGCGACGTGGTTCGAGAACGTGCAGTTGACGACGGTCGTCGACGCGCCCGAGGCCAGGAGCAGGCCGCCCCCGGCGCCCACCGTCGCGACGTTGCCGTCGAAGGCGACGCCGTCGAAGACCGCGCGCACCGAGGTCGTGACGCCCCGCAGGCCGCCGCCGGTGTCGAAGCCGAAGCCGCCCGCCTCGGCGGCGACGTTCCCGGTGACCGCGGACCGCGACACGTTGAGCTCGCCGCCGAGCATGTAGCCGCCGCCCCAGACCGAGCGCGCGAAGTTGCGCTCGCAGGCCAGGCCCCGGGCGACCGTGACCGCCTCCTCGAGGTAGAGGCCGCCCGCGTAGAACGCGGAGTTGTTGGCCACGGTGACGTTGTCCAGCGTCAGCGCGGCGCCCTCGGCGAAGATGCCGCCGCCCGTCGCGCCCCCCATGTCGAAGACGGCGTTGTGCGACACGCTCGTGTTGGCGATGACGGCCGTCAGCGTCGCGCCCCAGCCCCAGTTGAAGAGGTAGACGCTGCCGCCGTACCACTCGGCGACGTTGCGCTCGATGGCGGAGTCGACGATGACGACGGCGACGTCGCTCGTGGAAGCCTGCGCGTTGACCGCGCCGCCGTACTCGCCGACGTTGTGGTCGAACGTGCAGCGCCGGATCTCGAGGTCCGCGTCCTCGACCTTGACGACGCCCCCGACAAAGCCGTCGATGCCGCTGTTGTTGAAGCCGCGCACGTCCTCGAGGACGATGCTCCCGGCCTGGTAGGCGTAGACGGCCTCCTTCTCGCGGCAGCCGGAGAGCGACCCGCCGCGGATCGCCAGCGACGCGCCCTCGAACGCGCGGAAGATGCGCTGGTTGACCCGGCCGCAGGTCAGCGCGAAACCGTAGGCCAGGACCTCCAGGCTGAAATTCGCGCCCGACGCGTTGCCCGTGCCCAGGTCGATCTCCGACTCGACGACGATGTCGGCGACGACCTCGACGACGCCGCCGAGCTGCGCCGCCACGCGGAGCGCGTCGTACGTCGACACCCGCGTCGCGTTCGCACCGGCTGTTGGCTGATTCGACGGCGCTGTTGTTGTTGTCGGCGCCGCCGTCGTCGGCACGGGCGTCGGCGGGGGCGTCGGCGGGTCGCAGCCGGTGCAGTCCTCCCAGGACCCGAAGGTGTACTGCGACGACGTCGAGCACCAGAAGGTGTCCGAATTGACGTCGGTGCAGGTCTGGTACTCGACGCCCAGGTACGTGAAAGGAAAAACGCAGGCGTCCGGGACGTAGGTGCAGGCTTCGATTGTGGTCGCGTCCTCGAGACGGCGCGTGTGGGGCTGCCCCCATGCGCCGGCGAGGAGCGCGAAGATGATGGCGTTTTTGGGCGTGGTGCGCATCGGTGTGCCCATGATCGCTTCCGAGCTAGATTTCAGAGGGCGGCGCGGCCATATGCCAGGAGCAGGAGCCACCGCATCATCTCGTCCAGACCACGGTCTAGCGCGGGCTGCCCCGGGACCAATATCCCACGACCATAATTTGCCGAGTGGGGGTTGTTGATGTTCAAGTGAAGGTCGTTTCCAATTCATCAATACCCACGGCGCGCGCCCCCGCACGCCGTCCTCGCGGCGCACGCCCCGCCGTGTCGTCCGTTGCGAGTCTTGGTGTTAGGCGCCGCCGCCCTCCCACCCGGGGTCGCGCGCGCTCGCGCGGCTCGCCCGGTCGCGCGAAGGGCCCGTTTTCCCGCGCCGTCCTACATGGCGAGCACCTTCTTGAGCGTGTCCTTCTGGGCCTGCTCGAGGTACTTGGGGAAGACGATGTGGAAGCGGATGACGAGGTTTCCCCGGACGTCGGGCGTCTTCGAGAGGGGCATGCCCTCGCCGGGGACCGTCTTCTCGTAGCCCGGCGAGACGACCTCCGGGCAGGACACGGAGAGCTTGCGGCCGTCGAGCGTCGGGACCTCGATGGTCGTGCCGCAGAGCGCGTCGGCGAGGTCCACCGTCGCGACGAAGACGAGGTTCGCGCCCTCGCGGGAGAACGTGCCGTGGGGCAGCTCGTTGAGCGTGAAGACGATGTCCGCGGGGACGACGTTGGGCGCGGCGTCGCCCTCGTTGGCGAAGGTCACCTTCGTGCCCTTCTTCCAGCCGGGCTTGACGGCGATGGTCAGCGCCTTGGTCTCGTCGACGTAGTCGGGCGCCGCGCCCTCGTCCGCGGCGCCCTTGAGGCGCTTCCGCGTGACGTGGAACTTCTTCACGCAGCCGTTGAAGAGCTCCTCGAGGGTGCAGTCCAGGCCCCGGGGGATGGGGCTCATCTTCTTCGGGCCGACCTTGCGCAGCCGCGTCGCGAACGGCACCGAGTCGCCGAAGCCGAAATCCGCGAAGGGGTTCGCGGTGCCGAAGAAGTTCTCGAAGATCTCCTTGGCGTTCTGCTTGTAGGACCAGCCGCCGCGCATGCCGCCCTGGTCGTCGGGCACGCCGTCGCGCAGGGCCTCGTAGCCGTGCTGGTCGTAGATGGCCTTCTTCGCCTTGTCGCTCAGGACGCTGTAGGCCTCGCCGATGTCCTGGAACTTCTGGGCCGCCTCCTCGGCGTTCTCCGGGTTCTTGTCCGGGTGCCACTTCATGGCCAGCTTGCGGTAGGCCTTCTTGATCTCCGCCTCGCTCGCCGCCCGCGCGACGTTGAGGATCTTGTAGAGGTCCTTCGCCGCATCCTCCGGCTTCTCGCCCATGGTCGCCGGGACTCGACCCGGGCCGCGCGCGGACCGAGGCGACGGCGCCGGACGACGGACGCGGACCGAGGCGACTGTCCTCGACGGCTGGGAGCGACGGAGCCCGACGACGCGCGCTGGCTGCCCCACACAACCGACTTAGTTGTATCTTCTCGTTGCCCGGGCCCCATCGACACGGTGCAGGGCGAAAGAGTTTGTTGGCGCTCTGGGTCGGGGCTGGGCCGGCAGCCGCGGCGCTCCCCCCTCCGCGCGGCGCTGCTCCCTCGCCGCGCGGCGCTGCCTCTCCTCGCCCCCGCCGCCGCGCGGCGCGCCCTCGCCGTTCGGCTCCGGGCCGGGGCAGCCCCCTCGCCATGGCGCCCATGAAGCTGCCCCCGCTGGGCCTCGCGAGCGCGACGCCGGCGCTGCCCGAGGGGTGGACGGAGCACGTCGACGACGACACGGGCTGCGCCTACTACCACAACGAGCACACCGACGCGACGCAGTGGGACTTCCCGACGCTCCCCGCGGCGGCGGCGGCGCCCGGCGCGCCCGTCGACGACGACGGGTCGCGGTCCGTGGACCCGCCGGCCGACGAGGCGCCGGCGACGCCGGAGAGCGACTCGCCGCCGGCCGCGAACCGCGCGCTCGCCGACGCCGGCGCCGACGACAAGCCCGCGCCGCTGAAGCGCAACAAGGACTACGTCGCGCTGGCCAACGCGTACCGCGTCGAGCGCGACTACCGCGACCTCGGCGCGACGCCGACCTGCGTCATGTGCCACGCGCAGCCCTGCTACGACGTCCTCTTCCCCTGCGAGCACAAGTGCGTCTGCCGGGGCTGCATGGTCCTCAACGACATCGGCGAGTCGCGCGACGAGGGCAAGTGGTGCCTCTGCCCGCTGTGCTGCGGCGAGATCAAGCGGATCATCCCCCACGACGGCGCCGAGGTGGACACGTACTGGAAGTGGGTCCTCGAGATCAAGCCCAAGCTGCCCCACAAATTCGAGCAGAAGTTCGAGTTCGCCGGCGCGTACCTCCGCCAGCCGCCCGACGAGCCCGGGGGCGCCGCGCGGCCCGCGTCCTGCGCGTGCGTCGTCTCCTGAGGGGAGGCCCCCGCGCTCCGTCTACGATCGTCCTACCGGAAGGTCGCGCGGGCGTAGGCCGCGACGTGGGGAATCGCCCAGGCGACGTAGCCCATCGAGAGCAGCGACGCGGCCGCGGCGGCCGCGTAGGCGGGGCTCGAGGTCGCCTTGCGCGCTAAGAGCTGCGCGTAGCGCCACGGCAGCTGGTGGACGGCGATGTCGTTCTGCGGGTGCGTGTTGTCGTCGAAGGCGAGGCCCAGGAGCGCGCCGGAGAAGCTCACGAGCAGCGCGGCCCTCGCGACGACGGGGCACGCGATGGAGATCCACGCTCGCACGCCGAGCGCGACGAGGAACGAGGTCAGTCCGACGTAGAAGTTCAGCCGCGTCGCGACGTACTCGAGCTCGAAGTTCCGGCGCAGGAACGCGCCGAGCGACGGCTCCTCGTCGAAGCGGTTCGCGAGCGCGCCGATGGCCACCGTCGAGATCAAGACGACCTACGATTACAGCTATTCCACGAGAAACACTGTGTTTGAATGTTTCACCTGCATCTGCATCGTCAGGGAGCTGACCATCAGGAACGCGTAGGCGCGCTTGCAGAGCGCGAGCTTGAACGTGTCCGCGACGTCGTCGAGCGGCATCGCGAACGCCGCGCCCGCCGACGCGCCGGCGAAGAGCGCCCCCGGCACGCGGTACGTCCCGAAAAGGGCCGATGCCGCGCCCGTGTAGTCCCGGAGCTCCGGCTGGACCGTGGTCGCGGCGGTCGCGCGGCGGATGAGTCGGCTGAGAGACTGGGAGCCGCACTCACGACCGCCGCGACGACGGATGAGTCGGCTGAGAGACTGGGAGCCGCCGCGAGTACGGCCGCGACCATCCAAGCTCCTGCTGGGGATCGGCCCCAGCGAGCTCCCCAGCGCGGCGAGTCCGGCGAGGATGATCATGCTCGGTGAGGGCTGCCTTCTCGGTGCCATCTCGCACGGCAGGCCTTGTTGAACTTCAATGAAATCGCTCGCCAAACGCTTGCCACAAGCCAAAGCCCAGCACCGACGCGCCGCGCCCACCGACACACGCGCAGCGATGGCGCAGCAGAACATGGACGCGGACATCAGGCTCGCCGACGCGTCGGCGTCGGACATCAGGCACGGCCTCGACGGCGCGCCGCACGCGCGCGTCCTCGAGGCCCTGCGCGCGCTGGGCCCCGTCGCCGACGGCGCGTCCGTCGCGGCGACGACGGTGGCCGACGAGCTCAAGCAGCCGAACAGCCACAGCGCCGTGCTGCGGCTCGAGCTCTCCGACGGCGCGGCGCGCGAGGTCTTCGTCAAGAAGGTCACCGCGCGGCACCTCGCGCACAAGCCCTGGGCCGACCGGCGGCGGTCGCTCGCGTACGCGCGCTGCGAGCTCCGCTTCTACCGCGAGTTCGCGCCGGGCCTCGACGTCGGCACGCCGCGCGTCGCGCTGCTGGAGGACGCCGGCCTGGAGGATCTCGGGGACGCGGAGCCGCCCGCGGCGGCGCTCGAGACGTGCGGCGCGGTCATGTGGCTGGAGACCGTCCGCGGCGGCTTCGAGCAGGCGTCGCCCCTGGCGCCGGCGCGCGCGGCGTTGGTGCTGGACGCCGCGGCGCGGCTCCACGCCAGCGCCTGGGAGGACGAGGCCGTGCTCGGCCGCGCGGCCGAGCGGCTCCAGCGCCACGGCGGCTCGTTCGCGCTGAGCATCCGCAACCCCAAGGAGCTCGAGCGCCTCGAGGCGAACTGGGCCACGTTCAAGGCGAATTTCGCCGCCGTCGCGCCGCCGGGCTTCTTCGACGCGCCGGGCGTCGCGGACCTGGGGGGGCGGCTGAAGCGCGCGGCGCGTTTCGTCGCGAACGAGCTCGCGCCGCAGCCGGGCGACGCGTTCGCGTGCCTCGTCCACGGCGATCTGAAGGCCATGAACGTCTTCCTGCCGACGGACGACGGGGAGCGCGCGCTCCTCATCGACTTCGCGTCGACGGGCGTCGGCTACGGCATGGCCGACGTCGCCATGCATCTCGCGCACGCGGTCTTCCCGCTGCCCGCGGACGTCGAGGACGGCCTCATCGACGGCTACCTCGCGGCGCTCGACGCCTACGGCATCGACGGGACGGAGGGCAGCCCCTACTACTACACGCGCGGCGCCGCGCGGCACCACTACCGCCTCGGCCTCGTCGACTACGCGCGCTTCGTCGTCGGCCGCTTCTGGGGCGCGGCGTCGCCCGAGACCTTCGCCGCCAAGGCGGCGAACCGCAACGTCGCCCTCGTCCACCGCAACGTCGACGCCGCGCTCGCCTTCGTCGCCAAGGTCGACGCGTACCTCCGGCTCGTCGAGGCCGACATCGCGTCGCCGCCGAAGCCGCCGCCGCGCGGGCCCCCGAAAGTGAAACCTTAGAAACAGGGCGTTACCAGAAGAGGTTCGGGTGGGAGACTTTGAGAGCGCTCCGGGTAGCCGGCGAAATCCGGCTAGGGTTCCGCAAGCCGAGGCTCCTCAAATCGGGGCAGCAACGCGCAAGAGCAAGTACTTCTTCGTCTCCAACGTCACAATCCACTGCGTCCACGTCGAGTGAATCCAGCTTTGGAAACCGGGCCGCGATGGCGAGCACCGAAGCCTTGGTGATGCGCGTCCTATCCAAGCGGAGAGTCAACGATGATTTCGTACTCAGCCCGGGCAGCAGCGCGGCGACGCCATCGTCCGATACATGCTCGCAGCAATCAAGACACAATTCCTCGAGCGAACAGCCGATGCCCAAGGCCTCCAAGCCGACATGCGTGACCGCGGACCAGTTCAAGTTTAAAATTCTCAGCCTCGGACAGTTTTGTCCAAGCGCGACGACAGATTCGTTCGTGAGCACCGTGTCATCTCGTGAAGAGTCGTAATTCGTCAGGTGTAAATTCAGATCCTCTATGATCGGGCAGTGCTTCGCAATGGCCACGACCGCGGCATCAGTGACGAGGGTGTCGCTGACATTCAGCGTCTTTAGCGCGGTGCAGCTCCGCACGAGCTCGATCACTCCTGCATCTGAAACGAGCGAACGATCATCAAGATTTAGGGCCTGCAGCTTCGGCAAATACTTTGCGATCGTTCGGAGCGCGTTGTCTGTAACATTCCGTTTGAAGCCACGTTCCAACGCACCCAAGTTTAGTTCTTCGAGATACGAGCAGTTTTTCGCCGCCGCCGACACGGCGTCATCCGTGACGCAAGTATTTTCGAGGTCGAGCGACTTCAACGCGGCGCAGCGCTGGACCAGCGCGATCACCCCCGTGTCCGAGATGTGATCGCAGTCGCCAACACTCAGAACCCGCAGCTCGGGGCAGTGCTCCGCTACCGCCAGCAGAGCGGCATCGGTTACGGGAATCCCGCACAGACGAAGCTTTTTCAACGCGGTGCATTTCTGAGCCAGTGCTATCACTCCGCCGTCCGAGATTCCGTTGTTTCTGGGAAAGTTGACATTCAGGAGCTCCAATTTCGGTAGGTGCTTGGCGATCGCGCAGAGCGCGACGTCCGTGAGCTTGTGTTGGCAAGCGAAATTGAGCTTCACGAGGCCCGCGTGCACGCGCACCATGGCTGCCACCGCAGAGTCGGTGAGGCTTCCACTCGTCAACGCAAGAGACCGCAGGCTCGTACAATACGCCATCAGCGCAACCACGAGTTGATCATCTACGAGCGGTCGGTCAGCGCGCATGGACACGTAGCGAAGACCGTCGCAGCGTCGCAGGAGCGCCGTGACCTGGTTTGCACCGAAGCCGTCAGAAACTTCGTAGCCAAAGCTCTCGGCAAAGTTGAGAGTCCGCGCGCGACCGCACACACCGCCAAGAAAGGTGTTGCTCGTCAGCGCCAATCCCATCATCTCGAAGAGGCCAAGGTGCGCGACGAGGTCGTCGCCCACTGCGTCGAGGACGCGCTGGATTCCCGAACGACTCCGGGGCGCCGCCATCCTGTGCTCGACGCAGCGGTCGCGCGGCGCGCGCACGGGTCGCGCGCTGCGGCGCGCGCGCAGGCCTGTGCTCGACGCAGCGGTCGCGGGCGCGCGCACGGGTCGACGAGCGGCGGCGCACGCCGCCCGCTCAACTCGAATGCTCGAGCCAAAGTTCACCGTGCACTGCAAGGTGAAGCGGCAGACGCCGGCCAAGTCGCCGGCCGCGTGACGGGCCGCGGCCGACGAGGACCTGCGGCCGTTCCTCGAGGCCACCGAGACACCCGACGATCTACGATATGCTAACCGCCCCTACCGGTGCCTGTGGTGGTGCTTCGCGGGCCCGTCCCTCCCCTGGAAGACGGAGGAGCGGCCGCCGTTCGAGGCCGCGTCGTCGTCCCGCTTGTCCTTGTCGTAGCACTTGCTGATGAAGAGCGGCTGGTTGATGAGGCCCTGCTGGAGGACGTCGTTGAGGACGATGTTGTACATGATCTGCTCGAGCTTGTCCGTCTTCAGGCTCTCCAGGAACGAGTCGACGAAGAGGAGCGCGTAGGTCCGCGCGGTCTTCTCCGGCAGCAGGGACAGCGCGAGCGTGACGAGCGACACGTTGCGGTCCCGGCCGTGCTTCTTGGGCCTCGTGAACGCGCGCGTGAGGTTCTCGCGGAGGAGCGCCGTGAAGGGCTTGTCGTCGAGGTTCGGCAGCTGCTCCGCGCTGCAGAGCGCGACCTCGGCGTAGATGTCGACGCGGCAGAGGTGCTCGTTGTACGTCTCGACCAAAACGGGCGTCACGACGGCCGTCGCCTTCTCGCACCACCAGACGATGAGGTGCTCGAGGAGCGGCGTCGGGAAGAAGGGCACGGACGACACGTAGAACTCGATGCGCTCCACGAGCGCGTGGCGCTGCGCCGGGTCCTGGAAGATGTCGATCGTGCCCTTGACGAAGACGTCGAGGACGAGCTTGTGCGTCTCCAGCTCCGTCAGCGCGCCCACGGCGCTCTTGCGCTTGTGCATGGACCGCATGAGCAGCACGAGCAGGCAGTGGATGACGTGCCGCTGGTCCGTCTCGTCGAGGAACGGCAGGTCGGCGCGCGCGAGGAGCCAGTCGAACCTGCACGCGAGGCTTGTTGCGAGGCGCGACGAAAAACACCAAACGCCGCGTCGAACATGCGCTTCTCGAATTTCACCATGTCGTCGTGGGGCAGCTCGTACTCGCTGTGGACGAGGTTGATCATCTCGTTGGGCAGCGCCGCGGCGAGGTCCTCGACGAGCCGGCAGACGCTGAACCTAGCACGGGTCGCGTGGCGTCCGGGCGCGCGCGAGAAGACGCCGCGCGGTCGCTCGAAGATTTCCTGCTCCTCGTCCTCGTCGTAAAAATCCAAATCCACAAAGTTGTTGATGAGCTGCGCCGCGGCGCTCACCTCCACGTCGGACATCAGCATCTTCGCGCGCCGGCTCCGCTCCGCGCTCGTGCCCTTGTAGCGCCGCTGGAGCGGCACGTTGTAGCGCGGGCAGGGCAGGTGCTTCTGGCCGCTCGTGGCCGCGCGCGCGGAAGAGTCGAAGCCGGGAAAGCCGCAAAAACAGGTGGCGCCGCCCGCGACGGACGCGAGGGCGTAGCGCGTCGTCGCGACCACGGCGCGCATGGGCTCGTCACGGTGCCCGGGCTGCACTTCTTGCACGAACCATGCGCTTGTACATACGAACCAAGTCGGGCTGCAAGGTCTGTCTTGAGCTTCAGGTCTTTGCCTTTTGCGTCATCATCCGTGCATTTTCGAGCTTGGAAGCTTCCGTAGCAGCCCGTGGCAGCCCCGGAGAGGCCCGCGCTGCCGCCGCCGGCGCAGGGCAGCCACGCCACACCTTCGCGGGCGCGTCGGGACAACGGGCTGCTCGAACCCGTAGCAGCCGGAGAGGCCCGCCCGGCACGATGGCGGACAACACCGAAACGCCGCTCATCGACGACGGCCCGCGCTCGGACGCGCCGGCGCTCGCGCGCGCGGCGCTGCTCGTGCTCGGCGCCAGCGTCCTCGCCTACTCGAGCGGCGGCCCCCCCGCAATCGCACCGAGACCGATGCAGTTCGCCGCCGCCGACGCGCCGTCGGCCGACGAGGCCGCGTCGATCCTCGGCGCGGCGCTGTCGGCGGAGGCGTCGCTGACCATGCCCTGGGACGCGGGCTTCGCCGCCGCGGCGCCCGCGCGGAACGCGCTGAAGCAGGACGCCGCGTGGGGCGTCGCGCGGCCCGCGACGGAGGCCGACGTCGCGGCCGCGGTCGCCTTCGCGCGGCGCCGGGGCCTGCGCGTCGCCGTCTACAGCACGGGCCACGACTACGACGGCCGGTCCCAGGCGTCCGGCGACGGCCTGGGCCTCGACCTCGGGCGGCTCCGGTGGGCGCGCGTGCTCGACGAGACGGACGCCCGGGGCCGCCGGCTCATGAGCCTCGGCCCGGCGACGCCCATGCTCGACGCCTACGAGGCCGGCGCGCCCCACGGCCTCGTGCCCGTGAGCGGCCACGTCAAGTCCGTCGGCGTCGGCGGCTTCACGCTCGGCGGCGGCCACGGGCCCCTGAGCCGGCGCCACGGCCTCGGCGCGGACCAGCTCGCGCGCGCGCGCGTCGTCCTCAGCGACGGCACGGTCGTCGTCGCCGACGACGGGCCCGGCGCGTCGGCGCGGCAGCGCGACCTCCTCTACGCGCTCCGCGGCGGCGGCGCGGCGCCCGGCGTCGTCACGGAGTTCGTCGTCGCGGTCCACCCGGCGCCGGCGACGGTGCGCCACGTCGCCTGGACGGCGCCCTTCGTCGCCGCGGGCGGCTACGCGACGGGCCGCGCGGCGCTGAAACGGTTCTTCCACAACGCGACGTGGTGGGAGGGCCTCGACCGCGGCTGGGGCGGCTGGTCCTCCGCGTCGTGCCGCGACGCGGCGCGCTTCCGCGCGGGCGACGCGGACGCGGGGCCCGCGGGCGCGCGCGGCGGCGCCTGGGGCCTGCTCGAGGCGCGGCTGATCTACGCGGGCGACGGGAGCGGCTACGAGTCGCTGCGGGAGCTGCTGGACTGGGCGCCCGTGGGCGGCGACGCGCGCGCCGTCGAGACGGACGTCCGCGACATGGTCGCGCTCATGCGCACGGAGGGCGGCGACCGCGAGGGCCAGTACGAGCGCCAGCTCATCAGCAACGTCTTCGTCGACGCGGGCCACCTCGCGAACGACGACCTCACGGACCTCGTCGCGAACGCTTTAGACGGCTCCTGCGCCGGCGGCGCGGCCTGGGGCCCCCTCTTCTTCTACAACCACGTGCTCGGCGGCCGCGTGGGCGAGCTCGGCGAGGGCACGAGCGTCGCAAACGGGTTCCGGTCCGCGCTCTTCGAGGTCGGCGCGAACGACGCGTGGGCCGAATCGGCCGACGACGCGGCGCGCGGCGGCGCGCTCGTCGCGGCCGCGGCGCGGCTCTACGCGTTCTCCTCGAGCAGCTACGGCAACGAGTTCACGGACGCGCCCCTGCTGGACCGCGACTGGAAGGACCGCTTCTACGGCGACCACTACGGTCGGCTCCTGGCCGTCAAAGCGGACGCGGACCCGTGCAACGTCTTCCGCGCGGAAAGGGGCGTCGGCGCGGACGTCGACCGCTTCGCGGCCTGCGCGCCCTTCGCCAAGGCGGCCTGCGGGACGACGGCGCGGACCGTCGCCGTGGACCGGACCAAGTACGGCGGCACGTGGTACAAGCAGTTCGTGTCGACGTCGCTCGCGGCGACGCACGAGCGCGGCAAGCGCTGCATCCAGGTCCACATGGACCCGCGGGACGGCGGGACCTTCGAGACCGTCGTCAAGTGGCGCGCGGGCGCGGCGGACGGCGCGCCGAAGAGCGTCGACGCGACCGTGACGCTCGGGGACGACGGGACCTTCGAGGAGCGCGGCGTCTCCATCCCCTACGACGTCGTCCACGTCCGCGAGGGCGCCGACGGTCTGTACGACCTGGCGGTGGTCTATTCGTCCTGCGTCGGCGACGACGTCGGCGCCGGCGCCTGGGTCATGACGCGCGAGCCCGAGCTGCCCGCGGGCGTCGACGTCGCGTCGCTGCAGGAGACGCTGGCGGCCGCGGGCGTCGACGCCGCGGTGCGCCTCGAGAAGGTCACGCAGGCGACCTGCGCGGCCTGGGCGCCGTCGAAGACGATCGCGCGCGCGCGCGTCGCCGTGCGGCCCGCGGTCTGCGGCGGCGATTCCGAGGACGCGCTCGTCGCGTACCCCGACGACGGCGGCCGCTACCCGCTCGTCGCGCTCGAGCACGGCGCGCTCTACGACAAAGCGGAGAGCGCCGAGCACTGCGCCGGCGACGTCGAGGCCTGCTACGGCGCGCTCATCGAGGACGTCGCGCGCGCGGGCTTCGTCGTCGCCGCGCCCGCGTCCGAGAAGACGGGCTGGTGCCAGCGCGCGGCGGAGGACCAGGCGAACATCGTCACGTTCGCCGCGGCGAAGCGGTCGTCGAGCGCGCCCGAGGACGCCGTCTGGCGCCGCGTCGACTGGGACCGGGGCGCGGGGCTCCTCGGCCATTCCATGGGCGGCGTCGCGACGCTCGTCAACGCCGACGACTACTACCCCCTGGTCGCCGCGGCCGTCGCCGTCGCGCCCTACACGGCCGACGCCTGGCGCGAGGCCCACGACGGCCCGGTGCCGCGGGACCACCTCCTCGGCGCCAAGGGCGGCGCGCCGGGGCGACACGCGCGCGCGGCGGTGGCGGTCTTCGGGTCCGCGGAGGACGCGACGGTGCCGCCGGGCGCGCTCCGCGCGGCCTACGACGGGCTCCCGGCGACGACGGACCGGCTGCTCGTCGTGCTGCCGGACCGCAGCCACCGCGGGCTCAAGGAGGACCACGTGCTCTCCGCGTCGTACGCGGCCTTTTTGGCGTGCCACCTCAAGGACGACGACGGCGCGTGCGCCCGCCTCGGCGCCGAGTCCGAGCTCTGCGCGGGGGCGATCTGCGAACGCGGCGGCGGGTTGTAAGGGTTGTTTTATTTCTCGAGGACTTTCTCTGGAGGACGTCGTCGGGCCTCCGAGATCGTGAATCTCTCGCTCGCCGAGAGCCTCAGAATCTCACCGCGATCCTCTCGCTTCCACCTTAATTATGGCTCGCGTTCTCGTCGCTCTCGCTGCCCTCGCCTCCGCCACGGCGCTCCGCCCCCTAGAAAGCAAGGCGCTCAACGCACAGCGACGGCGTCCCCGAATTCAGAACCGGTCGCTCGCAAAATATCTTGTTTCCAGACAGACGCGTTGCGCCGCCCGCGCGGCCGCGCTACTCGTCCCAAAGCACCCCTCTCGCCCCGCGCTACACGCGCGTGCACGTCGTATGCGATCGCACCGCCTCGAGCGGGACGTCGCGCGTTCGCGCGTCGTCCGCTCGCCCGCGACCCGAACCGTCCGCAGGTGCGCGGCGGCGGCCTCCAGGAGGTCGGCGCGGGCCTCATCGGCGCGTCCGGCGCGGCGGCCTACCTCACGCCCAAGGGTAACTTCAAGGCCTACGACATGGACGTCACGGAGCCGACGGCGCTCGCGATGATGCGCCTCGTCGGCGCCTGGCAGCTCGGCGCCGCGACGGTGCTCGCGCGCGACACGGCCGACGTCGGCGCCTTCTCGAACTGGGTCGCCGCCGCGGCGATCCTGTCCACCGCGCCGTCCTGGGAGTCCATCGGCGCGCCCAAGGAGTCCATGGCCATCTGGATCGGCATCCTCGCGGCCCTCGGCAAGTACGGCATGGACGGCAAGCTCAACAAGTGGGTGCCCGTCGCGCTCTGGCTCGTCAACGGCGCCCAGTTCCACTTCGCGCCCCAGTTCTCCGCGGACTTGTACCAGGCCAAGTCGAAGATCTCGCCCATGGGCCTCTCCATGCTCTCGCTCTCCGGCGGCATGATGATGGTCGCGGGCACGTACCTCGGCTTCCTCGCGAACGGCGCCTCGCAGGCCGAGGCCTTCGGCTACGCCTACGCCGTCAACGGCGTCCTCGCGGCCAAGTGGGCCCTCACGGAGGCCGAGGGCCTCGGCGCGCCCAAGCACGGCCCGCTCGCCTGGGCCGCGATCTCCGCGGGCCTCGCCTACAAGTCCCTCACCGCGTGAGCGCGCGCGCGACCCAAGGAATCTCGGCGTCGAGCGCGGGACCCTGCGCGCGCGCTCCGCCCGAGTCGGCTAACGACGTACGACTCCTCTCGCGGCCCGGGGCTGGCGGCGAACGACTGACCTGCAAGTTCAGTGCAAGGACTTCAAATTGAACTCTTGCCAGAGCTTGGCTCGCACGGGCGCCGGGCGCCTGACGATGGTCGCAGCTCGCGGCGACGACAAGTCCGATGCAACGACTTCAAGGTGCACTCGCAGAGCTCTTGCCTTCCGCACGCGCCACGATGGCTGCATCGATCGTACCAACGCTCGCACTCCTGGCCTCGTCCGCCGCAGCGCTCAGCGCGCCAACATCATCAGCCGCAGCGCTCAGCGCGCCGCCAGCGTCGGCGACGATCGCATCGATCAACCCCTGCCCGCGGCGCCAGCTGCTCACGTATGTGGCGCACACGGGCGGCGGCAAGGTCAGCGGCGGCGAGGTGCTCGCGAAGCGCGAGGACTCGGAGTGGCTGACCGTGGGGCGCATCGCCGCGGCCGACGACACGTTCGAAGCGCTCAGCGCCGCCGCCGCGCGCCAGGAAAGATTGATCGCCGAACACGCGACGCGGCTCTACACCGAGCTGCGGCGGAAGCCCGGCGACGGGAGCCCGCCCATCGAGCTCGGCCTGCGCATCGACGACGACGTCGTCGCCGTGCCCGCGCCAATGAGACGCGACTTCGTCGACGCGGCGACCATGACCGCGGGCGGCTTCCGGGGCTTCCCGAAGAAGGCCGGCGGGTCGGACATGTACGCGCAGTACGACCTCGGCGAAGACGTCTACGGCCTGCCCTACGACCGCGCGGCCGTGCGCGCCGAGCTCGCGCGCCTCGTCGAGGGCGACGCCGTCGTCGTCTTCGGCTGGAGCTCCTGCTTCTTTTGTGTGGACGCGGAGCAGAAGCTGCGGGACGCGGACGTGCCGTTTCGAGCCGTGCACGTCGACCTCTGGCGGCGGTCGCCGGACGTCTGGCACGACGCGGACGCCGACGACTCGGGCTCGGGCGCGGCGCGCGCGGCAAAGAACGTGCGCAAGGCCACGAACCCTTTGCAGGCCGAGCTCGCGCTCCTCACGGGGCGATGCTCCGTGCCCGTCGTCTTCGTGAAGGGCGAGCTGCTCGCCGCCGGCGACGACGACGCGCACGGCAAGGTCGACGACGCCCTCGCGTCGGGCGACATCGCGATCGCCCTGGCGGGGAACGCGCCCTGGACCGCGCCGCCGGGCTGGGCGCCGCCGCCCGCGACGCGGACGTGTCGCGTCTGCCGCGAGAAGTACTCGGACGCGACGAACGGCGACCGCAGCTGCTGCTACCACCCGGGCTCGCTGCGCGGCGAGTCCGCGAGGAAGGGTGACTGGGACGACGCGGCGCAGGGGCGGCCGACGGCGTCGGGCGACGGCGGCGAGCTCGTGTGGACCTACTCCTGCTGCGGCCAGGCCGACGGCGCGCCGGGCTGCACCTACGACCGCTGCCGGAGCTACGACGACCCGTAAGGTGCACTGCAACTTTGCCTCAAGTTGGCCGCAAAATTGCCTCAGCTGTTAAGGCGGAATCATCTGGGTCGTGCGCGCGAGCGCGCGCCGGCGGCACGCCCAGGGCCTCGACGAGCGCACGCGCACACCCACCCAATGGCGCCAAAGAAGCAAAAGCTCGCGCCCAAGGCCTGCTTCGCGGGCCTGAAGATCGTCGTCATCGCCGCCGAGCCCATGCAGAGGCAGATCTGGTCCGCCAGCATCCAAAACATCACGTTCCTGCGGCGCGACGAGGTCGCGCGGCTCGAGGGCAAGTCCTACGACTACGTCGTGTCGCGCCTCGACGCCGAGGCCTGGGGCGCGGCCGTGCGCGCGGCGGCCGGCGCCGCCAAGGTCGTCGGCGAGCGCTGGCTCACGGGCTCGCTCCGCACGGGCGCGCTCGAGGCCTGGGAGCCGCACGCGTGGGGGCGCGCCGCGACCGCCGCCGCGGCGCCGGACCGCGCGGGCGCGACGCTGCCGCTGCGCGCCGTCGCGGTCCGCGTCGACGGCGCGGGCTGGGCGCCGCGCGTCGCGGCGCTCGTCGCGGAGCACGCCGCGCACGTCGTGCTCCTGCGGTCCGCGGCGCCCCTGCGCTGCGGCGACCTGCTGCCGGCGCCGTGGCTCGTCGTCGCGTCGACGGCGACGTCCGCGGTGCTGAGCCGCTGCGCCGCGTCGCGGTCCGGCGTCGACCAGCACCCCGGCCTGTGCGCGTGGCGGTGCCGCGCGGGCGACGTCTTCGCCGTCGCGGACGTCGGCGCCGAGGATTTGGGACTGTGGGCGTCGCGGCAGCGGAGCGACGGCGATATGGTCGCCGTGCTCGCGGGCCGCGGCGGCGGCGGGGGCCTCGGCGCCTGCTTCCGCGACGCGTACCGGCTCCTGCGGCCCGGCGCGGCGCCGCCGGCGTTTGGCGCGTGCGACTCGCTGCGCTACGGCGCGGGCGTCGCCGGCGACGCGGCCGCGGCCTGGGCCGACGACGCGGTCTGGGTGTCGACCTACGGCGGCGCGACGCACCGTCTGGACGACTGCTGCGTCGCGCGGGCCGGCGGCGGCTACGCGCACGTGCTGTCGCTCCTGCCGCGGCGCCGCGAGCTCCTCGGCGACGACGTCGACGACGACGTGCCCGCGGCGTCGCGCTGCGTCGTCTACCGCGGCGGCTGCCCCGACGCGCGCACCGCGGAGGCCGCGCTCCGCGTCTTCCCGTCGGCCGCGCGAGGGGGCGCGAACGCGCGGATCCTCGACGCGCTCAAGAAGGTCGGCGCGCTCGAGGCCGCGCGCGACGGCGGCGACCGCGGGCGCGCGGGCGTCAACCCGCGCGTGCTCTACTTTGAGCGCGCCTACGCCATGTGCCTGTCCTGGCCTGTGTGGAAATCAAATCTTCAACCCGACTTCAATGTGCGCGTAATCGAACGATTTGGACCAGACTCTTTCGCTGTGCTTCGAGAACTCGACGAGAGCAATCGATCCGTCCAAAAATCAGCCGAATCGACTTCGATTTGATTGAGATAGAGAGTTCTGAAGTTTGGTGGACCCCAAACCAGTGGTTGATTTCCACACAGGTCGTGGCCCAAGCCGTTCCGGAAGCACGAGTGCGTCGAGGAGTTCGTGCGCGCGAGCCCGTTCCTGTCGGAGGACGGCCGCGCGATCAAGATCATGGAGGAGGCGCTCGAGGCGCCCATGTCCTGGGACGCCTGCGCCGCGTGGTCGTTGGAGAAGGGGCTCGCCGACGCCGTGGCGAACGATAGAGACGCGTTCACGACGGCGACGTGCCCGGACGAGCTCATCGCGACGCACCGCATGGCCAAGGTCTTCGGCATCTCCATCGGCGCCGGCGTCGACGACGCGGCGCGCGCGACGGGCGCCAAGTTCCGGGGCGCCGTCGAGGTCGTCCAGGCGCTCCGGAGGCGCGGCGTCGCGCGGCCGGAGCCCGCCGACGCGGCGGCGGCCGCCGCCGCGGACCCGGCCTTCGCCGCGCGGCTCAGCGGCGGCGCGCGCGCGGGCCTCGCGCGCCACGACGACTTCTTCGGCGCACCCCTTCAGGAGCCCGAGTTCGCGGACGTCGTCGCCGCGGTGAAATTCGCCCTTCAGGACCAGGCGGCGCACTGGCGCGCGCGGCTCGGCGCGGACGCCGTCGACGGCCACGCCTGGGTCGTCGAGCGCGTCGGCGGCGCGCGGCGGCGCCTCGGCGGCGAGGCGGGCCACGACTGCGACCTGCTCATCACGCACCCGGCGATCTGCTCCTACGCGCGGATTCGCGAGGTCCTGGATCGGCTCAAGAGCACGCTCGCGGCTAGGGGCCGTCTCGAAGGCTCGCGCGAGGGCGGCCTCGAGGGCGACCGCTTCGGCGACGGCATGCGGGGCCTGCCGCGCGCGGCGGCGCTCGAGGAGCACGTCGGCTCCGTGCTCAGCGACAACGAACCGGAGGACCTCGCGCGCGTGCCCGTCTTCCGGCAGATCCGCAACGAGATCGCGGGCCGCGGCTCGGGCTGGCAGCACTGGGACCACCTCGCGCGCCATTTCGGCGTCTTCCGCGGCACGTCGGGCCGCTGGCGCCGCGTCGATTTGATCGTCTCCGCGCACCTCGAGTGGCCCTTCGCGCTCCTGTCGTGGACGGGCGGCAAGGTCTACAACCGGCTGCTGCGGCTCCACGCGAACAAGATGGACGCGTCGCTGTCCGCGCACTGCCTCATGACCGTGCCCAAGGACGGCACCGACGCGAAGCTGATCCCGCTCGAGACGCACCCGGGCACGCCCTGGCCGCGGACCGAGGAGGACGTCTTGCGCCTCCTCGGCGTGCCCTGGCTCCCGCCGCATCTGCGGGACGTGTAACAAGTTTGTGTCCAGAGTGTTGGCGCGATTCGAGCCTCAAGAAGCCTTCAAGCTCCTGAGATTCACTCGCGACTCGAGTCGCCGAGGACCGAGGAAGCCATCCAGGTGCACCCGTCCCTCGCCGCTGACACCGACCGGTTGAACCCCCCCCCGTATGGCGACCGATGCGCCGCCGCCCGAGTTCAAGGACGCCGGCGGCTTCGGCCCCGCCGACTATGTGGCCATGGAGTTCTACTACCAGGACTTCGACGGGGAGCAGCGCGGCCCCGTGACCTTCCGCGGGCTCCGCGCCGGCGTGGCGGAGGGGAAGGTGGACGACTCGTCGTACATCTACCCCAAACTTTGCGACGAATGGGTCCAGCTCGGAAGTTTGCCGACGCTCCTCAAGCTCCTGACGTCGCTCGCGGCGGACGAGTCGCCCGCCTTCACCGAGGAGGACGCCGCGTCGCCGTCCTTCACGGAGCGGACCACGGGCGCGTCGAGCCCCCGCACGCCCTTCCAGCGCCTGTCGACCTACGAGGAAGGCGACGGCGTCGACTCCCCCCGCACGCCCTTCCCGCGCCTGTCGACCTACGCGGACGGCGACGGCGTCGACTCGTCCGACGAGAGCGTCGAGGGCCCGTCGCGGCGCGACCGCTTCGCGATGATGCAGTCGGCGCTCATCGCGGCCAAGGCCGAGGTCGCGAGCCTGAGAAAGGAGGTCGACGTCCTGCGCGAGGAGAAGGCGGCCCTCGAGTCGGCGGCGTCGCTCACGCGCCGGTTGAAGGTCGAGAAGAAGCTCTTGTCCGCGCGGCTGAGCGCCGTGGAGTCGACGCTGCGCCACGAGCGCGACGAGCTCAACCCGACGAAGGACGCGCTCTACCGCGAGGCCGAGGACTTCAAGGGCCGCGTGTCCGAGTGCGAGCTCGAGATCGACCGGCTCCGGCGCGCCGGCGCGGACCGGGGCGACGGCCCGCCGCACCACCACATCACGAAGAGCGAGGCGCTCCGAGAGCTCATGCGCGTCCGCCCCGCGCGGGGCTTCCGGACCTCGGCCAAGGAGCTCGTCACGGCGATTATCGCGCGGCGCGCGTCGTCGCCGGGCTCGTCGCTCGCGCGGCCCATCAAGCCGCCGCCGCCGCGCCGCGCGATCTCGCAGCTCGAGCCTTCCCACGCCTACGCGGACATCGTCTCGCGCGCGCGGCCGCCGCCGCGCGCGCGGGACGCGCCGGTCCAGTCCTTCGCCGACATCGCGTGCAGCCCGCGCGCCGCCGTGGCCCGGCGGCCCGCGCCGGAGCCGCGGGGCACGACGCCGCGGAGCACGGCGACGCGCACGCCGCCGCCGATGCCGTTCGGGTGGCCCTTTGCCCGCGCGGGCAGCTCGCGCACGTTCTCCTCGGCGTCGTCCGCTCCCGCGGCCACGCCGCCGACGCCGCCCGTGCCGCAAGTGCCCGCGGCCGGCGCGCCGCGGCCGGACGAGGCTCCGAACGGCGGCCTCCGCCGCGCGCCGTCGTCGACGGCGCGGCGCAACGCGTTCGCCGCGGCGCCCTAACACTCCCCTTAGACACGCCCTCAGATCTGCATGAGGTAGGTGATGCCGAGGAGGTCGAAGCACTTGCGCATGACGACGCCCGTGGCCTCGCAGAGCACGAGGCGCTCGGCCATGCGCGGGTCGTCGAGGACCTTGCACTCCGTGACGAACTCCGTGAACTTGGTGGCGATTTTGTAGAGGTAGTCGCAGATGCGCACGGGGAGGAAGTCGTCGGCGACGGAGAGCACGACCTCCGCGAACTGCGTGAGCTCGAAGGCCAAGGCGCGCTCCTTTGCGTGTTGCGTCAGGACGAGCGCCGCGCCGGCGGCCGCGGCCTTGGCGTCGACCTTGCGCGTCTCGCGGGCCTTGGCGACGATGGACGCGAGGCGCGCGTGGGCGAAGAGGAGGTAGACGGCCGTGTTGCCCGACGTCGACAGCATCTTGTCGTAGGAGAACTTGTAGTTCGTCGACGGGTGCTGGTGCAGGTCGAAGTACTTGACCGCGCCGTAGCCGATGGCCGCCGCGGCGCGCTTCACCTCGGCCGGTGGCAGGGCGCACTTGCCCTCGGCGACGCGGTCGCTCAGCGACTTCTCCATGCGCTCCACGGACGCGTCGAGCAGGTCGACGAGGCGCACGGTCTCGCCGGACCGCGTCTTGAAGCGCTTGCCGTCCTCGCCCTGGACGACGCCGAAGCCCACGTGGTGGAGGCGCACGTGGGCCGACGCGTCGTCCCACTTGGCCGCGCGCGCGGCCTCGAAGCACATGTGGAAGTGCTCCGCCTGCCCGAGGTCCGTCACGTAGACGACCCACTCGACGCCGAGCGTCCGCAGGCGGTGGTGGATCGCCGCCATGTCCGTCGAGTCGTAGCCGTAGCCGCCGTCGGACTTGCGGATGATCAGGGGGAAGCTGTGGCCCGGCAGGAAGACGCACGCGGCGCCCGACTCCGCGTTCACGAGGCCCGCGTCTTCCAGTAAACCGATCGCGCCGGGGATCATCGCGTTGTAGTAGCTCTCGCCGAACTCCTCGACCTTGACGTCCAACCGCGCGTAGACCTTGTCGAACTCCTTGCGCGAGATGTCGCAGAGCACGGACCAGATCGCGCGGCACCGCGCGTCGCCCGCCTGCAGCGCGACGACGGTCTTCCGCGACACCTCCTTGAACTGCTCGTCCTCGTCGAAGCGCTTCTTCGCGTTCTTGTAGAAGGTCGTCAAATCGGTAATGTTCGGCGGGTTCTGGAGGAAGTCGGGGTAGGCCTCCTCCATGTGCGTGATGAGCATGCCGAACTGCGTGCCCCAGTCGCCGACGTGGTTCACGCGGCGGACGTCGTGGCCGCAGAACTCGAGGACGCGGCAGATCGTGTCGCCGATGATCGTGGACCGCAGGTGGCCCACGTGCATCTCCTTGGCGATGTTCGGCGACGAGAAGTCGACGAGCACCTTCCGCGCCCCGCCGAACGCCGACAGGGGCGGCGGCGCCGCGACGCCGGACGCCGCGACGCGCTGCGCGTGGGCGCTGAGCAGCGACTCCTCGACGTGGGCGTTGATGAAGCCCGCGGGCGCGACGCTCGCGGACTTGAGGACGCCGTTCGCGGGCACGGCGGCCGCGATGGCCTCGCCGACGGCGCGCGGCGACGGCAGCCGCGCCACGCCGTTCGCCTTGAGCGTCTTGAAGATGCCCATGGGCGCGTTGCACTGGTAGTCGCCGAAGGCCGCGTTGCCGCAGCGCATGACGCCGGGGCTCACGTCGCCGGCCTCGGGCACGGCCGCGGCGATCGCCGCCGCGAAGAGCCGCGTCACGAACTGGATCGTCGACTCGTCGGCCTCGGGCGCCCAGGCGGCCTCCGCCGGCGCGCCGAGCGCGGCGACGCGCGTCTCGACGTCCGCGGGGACCTCGGTCGCCAAAGCGGCGACGGCGCCCCCGAACTCGCCGGCCGCGAAGGCCCGCAGCAGGAACTTCGCGTCGACGGCGATCAGCGCGCGGCCGAGCGTGCCCGGCGCGGGCCCCGCGCCCGCCGCGAGCCGCGCCGCGAGGTGCGCGAGGGCGGGCCGCGCCGCGGCGACGGCCGCGGCCGCGCCGGGCGGCGCCTTGGTCGTCGCGGGCGCCGCCAGCGCGTAGACGAGGGCGAATTCGTCCAATCGCGGCACGACGGGCTCCGCGGGCGGGGGGAACGGCGCCGCGTCGCCGAAGGCGCCCCGGACGCCCCGCGCGAGGGGCGCCAGCGTCGCGTCGGACCACTCGGTCCAGTCGTCGCACGCCGGGTCGTCGGCGGCGAGCGCGCCCGCCGCGAACGCGAGGAGCCGGCAGGCCGACGCCGCGCCGCAGACCTCGCCCTCGCTCGCGTCGAGGACGCAGCCGTCGTCGGCGCCGGGCACGCCGGGCCCGCCGCCGCCGCCGGACACGTCCAGGCCGCAGGCGGCGGCGACGGTCGCGACCTTGGCGACCGCGAGCGCGTCGGCGCCGGCGCGGAGGCGGTACGCGCCCTCGGCGACGGGCGCGGCGGCCGGCGCGGCGGCCGCGGGCGCCGCGGGCGCCGCGGCGGCGGCCGGCGGCGCGCCGCCGTCCTTGTGCGCCTTCTTCTTCGCGTCCTTGAGCGCCTTCTTCGCCGCGGCCTTTTGCGAGTTCTTGCTCGGCGCGGCGCCGCCGTCGGCCGCCGGCGCCGCGGCCTCCTGCTTCTTCTTCGCCTCCTTCTCCGCCTTCTTCTTCGCCGCCTTGTCCACGAGCGCCATGGGGTGGCTCGGATCCAGCGCCGTGATCTTCGTCTTGATGGCCACGAGGGCGTCGACGGCGGCCTTGATGGCCGCCTTGTCGCCGCCGGCCTTGGCCGTCTTCACGGCTTCGCCGGCGGCCTCGCACTGCGCCACTAAGTCGTCCATGACTCTCGCGGGTCGCGAGACCACGCTAATCTGTCGGGCGCGCTCGTCGAGCCGGCGAGGTGGACACGGCTTGGCGCGATGCGAAATCGGCGACGATGTGCTGAAGTTTGGACGAGCAGTCAACGAGCGCATCGTTGCCTTTGCAGGATCGCCGGCCGTGCCGTCTAGCCGCGTCCACAAGGAACGAGTGGCTCGCCGAGGGTCTCGAGGCATGCTGGTGCCTTTTCGTCACGCTTTTCGTACTCGTCCCTACCTTGTTAAAACGGCACCGCCTCCGCCAGCTCGAGGACCGCCTCCTCGGGCGGCGCCTCCCCGCGGCAGTCGAGGGACCGCACGCGCGCGAACGCGAACGCGCCGTCGCGCGCGCAGAGGCGGACGTCGTGGACCGCCTTCGGCCCGAGGAGGCCGCGGAGGTCGTCGAGGATGGGCCCGCGGATGCGGTCGCAGGCGCCGTGGTCGAAGCCGCGCGCGTCGCAGGCGGCCGAGAGCGCCGCGTCCGCGTCCGCGACGGCGCCCGCCGTCGGCGGCAGGTCGAAGGCGAAGGGCGCCGCGTCGTCGATGTCGCCCGAGAGGCGGTACTCGAGCTCGAGGTCGTCGGCCGTGCCGTTGAAGAGCGCCGCGTCGCAGAGCGCCCGGTCCAGCGCGTCGGGCCGGCCCCGCCAGAAGCCGCGCGGCGCGCCGAGCGCGACCGCGACGAGGTCGCCTCCCGAGGTTTCGTAACCGGCGACCCAGGCCGCGGCGTCGGCGAAGCGGCCGTCGGCGGCCTCGAAGACGAGCGCGCGCGCGCAGGGGTCGTCGTCGTCCGGCGGCGGCGCGGCCCAGTCCTGCCAGAGGCCGAAGCCGCGGAGCGCGCGCTCCGTCGACGCGGCCGCGGGAAACGGCGACGAAGCTACGGACCGCGCGTACGCGGTGACCAGGACGGCGGCGGCGACGGCCGCGAGGGGCCGCGACGCGTCCAGGGCCACGCCCGGCGCCGCCGCCGGCGCGGGTCGCGCGGCCGCGGCCGCGGGCGCCGCGGCCGGGTCCCACTGGA